TGAACTGGGGTTCAGTCCCTGCCTGGGTAAGCACCCTACACTATACCAATAAGAGTCCTTGGGCAAGACTCCTAACACTACCTTCACCTACCTGTGTTAAAAATGATCAAGCTGTAAGTCGCTCTGGATAACAGTGTCTGCCAAATGCCGTAAAGTGTAAATGTACTGTACAAAAGTAAAAATCAGAATAAAATGCATATACCTGTTTTCTTTAGGACAGTGATGTTATATTCGTTTCTAATAAGGTGCAAAATATAAGGAGTCCTGGGGGGTCTGGGACATCCCAATTAACCTCTTAGACCCCTGAATGTTTCAGAATCAAAATTCTGGGGGTCCTGAAGATAAACTTATTCTAACATTATGCTGTCTGTTAGGGTAAACAGATGCCCAGATACAAATTCAGTGAAAGCTCATTGTTTATCCTGCTTCACTCAAATTGGTAAACGTCCGCCTTTGGTATTCTTGAGTAACTAGAGCTACAGTACTGGTCTGCCTCAGGGTGGCGCTGTAGCAAATTGACCCAGGTTATAGCCTAGCAACTGTAACTATGTTTGGGACACCTCTAAAACAGCTTCACAATATGCCACAGTATATTTGTAAATCTTAAACTTGCCCAATTAACCAAGATACTGGTGGAAAGAATAAATTATTACTCATTTCTCAAACCGAAGGCGAACGAAGAGATGCGTACGATCTCAGTTAATGTAAGGAAGAGCGAACTACCAAAATAGAAAAGAGTATTTCCAGATAAAGGACTGTTAAACCAAACATTTTGTTGCCATTGAAGCATCAGTGCCTCTATGGAAAGTGAGTTTTCAGTTAGCCAGTGCTGAAGTAGCCAGACAACATGGGTCTCCTGGATGCCAAGGGGTATTTCGCACACTGGTTCCCAGCATACTTTTGTTTCATTGACGGACAATACTGCCTTCGAACTGAATATCATAAAGCATTACCTGATTTGCTGTTACAGTGGCAAAATCCACACTCATGGCTGTTTATATTAGCTATGCTAACTGGTGAAAATACTACTTAACGGCCATTTTTTAAGCTGAGAAATATGACTGTCTACTTTTTGATTAACAGAGAGAAAAACAGAAATATTCCTATAACATAGCTTCTGCACTCTCAGAAACTGTTCCACTGGGATGGAACCCTCAAGGCTCCATCTCAGTACCTTTAGTCAGGGAACATAACTGAACCATAATCCACTGAAATGATATGTTCTAAGCTGTACTGACTCCACACACCCCGTCTCGTCTCCAGGCTTTTATTTTACTGTTCTGTTTTAAAACATTCGGTTATGAAAAGGTACAAATACGAACTTTTCACCTGGAAAAACTTATTTAAGGTTCACAATCAGACCTTAGAACCACTGTTGAACCTTTGAGGGAACATTTACACTGTTTGTACCTTGATGAATGAAAGTGTACCTGCACAGAACCTTTATTACTAACAGTGTGGTGAAGTAGGCCGTTAATAAAGTACTGGTGTTAATAAACGTACTGGAAATTTGTGACTTTTGTTTAGCTGTAAAGCTGATTGTTGCATCAGTATTCGAAGCTCATCATTCTAACACTGGGTTCTGCTCCCACCAGTGGGACTGTACAGTCTCCACCAGTGGGACTGTATTGTCTAGAGATCAGCCACGGCAGATCCCACTGGCAGAGCCGCACTTACGTCACGATCATGAGCGTATATTCAATCAAGTGGGTCCCAAATCTTGTTCCCTGGACTGTAGTGAACTAAAGGCGTGTAGGACTGTGAAAGGCAGAGGTGACGCCTTCCTCTATGATGGATGAAGTTAGCTTTTCCGTATTGTAAACAGCATCAGTCACGCTAAGCTAAGCGCCAGCTTGGTGTTAGCGTGCCTTTGCTCTGCCCCGACATCTCTTCAGGTGACTGTGTGAATTGTGAGGTCAGTCAGAACACACAAACAAGTGTGGCACGAAGGCCCCAGAAGGCTCCCTCTTACGGCTGCCTTCTGAAGCTCACCGTGTTTGTGTGTGAGCTGGGAAATCACACACACACTCACAATTTGATCAGAGAGATATATATAACAGACACAAGCTCCCCAGACTAAAGCCTGGTTGCCGGGGACGGCATGTACTGTCAACCTTCATTTGTGCAGCAATATCCCTGCACTGCGCCTCCTGCAGCCCGCAATCTCTTCACATGAATAAAAAATGACATTTCAATTTACCTTTGTTGTTGCGTTCCAGCTCTTGCATACTGATTCTCTTTTTTTTCCCCCCTTTCTTTTCCTCTCTCTCTCTCTCTCTCACTCTCCTCTTCCCTCATGTTTCGTAGAAAATGAAGAGATGCAAAGAAAACAGATCGGTATCCACCGTGGATCGCGCTCACTTGCTTGGTTACTCGTGAATAAGAATCAAATGTTAATCTACCAGCAGGGAGGAGGCATTATCGCTTCTTTCCCGTTCACACGTGTTTGAGGGCAGCCGATATGAGATTGGATGAGCGCTGGGGGTTTTACCGTGCATGAAAACGAAATACGTCAAAAAAAAAAAAAGTTACAAGCACACTCTGGCTTAAGGAACGTTGGAGGCCTGGAGTGACGCTGAAATGAAAACGATTACCTGCGCGGATTGCTCGTGCGCTTGTTTGTCATTTTCACGGCACTCCAGGACACGGCACTCCTCTTTTATATATATCCCTTTATCAAGGAAAATCAAACCTATGGATTAAATCTTCTCAGAGGAGTCCTGCAATCTGCGTGCAGCTAGTTATGGATTCAGACTGAAAGCAGGCGTGCAGCCCAGCAGGAGAAAAAGGAGGCGAAAAAAGCCCTGGACTGCGCTTAGAGTTGCTTCAGGAGGCCTATTTGCATTTTCTACCAAGAAAAGAAACTCATTAATCACAGTAATGTATCAGCGGCGTGAGTGCGAGTGTGTTTGCACATCCATTCTCCTCTCGCAAACAACAAATAACGCACGTCGTTTTCCGAACTGCGGACGTATGACATATATAAGCGAGCAAAACCATTACCCTGAGCTCATTTGCATCCCATTAGCATTTGAAACGATCAATTCAATTCAACATGTCGTTCGCTGAAATGGGAAAAAAATGAAGAAAACCCATTAGGCGTTTTGTTGTCGAGTCCTTTTAGTGAAGCTAAAGCTGCATTTGGGCTGTAATATGCTACGCACAGCGTTATGGACCTTACCTCAATCTAATTTATCTGTTTTTTACATGCTTGCGTTTATAAGAGTTTGGGAAATCAACTGTAGGTGAAGGCATTACGGGCTGATCTGATGAAAGCTAATTACGCTGCTGGAATAGTTGTTGATTGGTGAAACCTCTCTAGACGTCTGGTACTCGAGGGAGCCGGCCACTCCATAAAGCCTCTCTCGCTCTTTCTCAATGTTTTCACCCCAATTTTCATGTTTCATTGAGTTTCCGCCACGAGGTCCATCATGCATGAATGTCACTCCAGAGCTCTGCTGCATGTTGGGTAAAAGCGAGCAGCCTGGCACGCTACGATCTGCAGTGTGAAAATTAGGGCCAGGTTTATGGGGCTAAAACCACTAATATTGGTAATACTTTAATCTGAGTGGCTCTTTTTTAGATAATAAACACTCAGCAGACTCTCAGTAACATTAGCAGCGTATCAGTGATGTAGCAGCAGTGAATACATTCAGTAGATTATCAGACTTTTAATTAACTGTGTGATAAAATGTGTTTATAATCTGAGTTCAGCTGTTTTTCACTTTATTCAAGTTCAGATCTGTAGATGTTGAACTGAGAGGAACTGAACTGGGTCAGAATTAGATTTTGGGTTGAAGCTATGTTTAGGATTAGGACCAGGGTGAGGGTTAGGATTAGGTTTTGGGTTGAGGTTAAGATTAGGATTAGGTTTTGGGTTGATCTTAAGGTAAGGGTTAGGATTAGGACCAGGGTGAGGGTTAGGATTTGATTTTTTGGTTAAGGTTAAGGTTAGGGTTAGGATTAGAATTAGGGCCAGGGTGAGGGTTAGGATTAGGTTTTGGGCTGAGGTTAAGATTAGGATTAGGTTTTGCATTGAGATTAAGATTAGGATTAGGTTTTGGGTCGAGGTTAAGGTTAGGGTTAGGATTAGAATTAGGGCCAGGGTGAGGGTTTAGGATTAGGCTTTAGGTTAAGGTTAAGGTTAGGGTTAGGATTAGAATTAGGGCCAGGGTGAGGGTTAGGATTAGGTTTTGGGCTGAGGTTAAGATTAGGATTAGGTTTTGGGTTGAGGTTAAGATTAGGATTAGGTTTTGGGTTGGGGTTAAGGCTGGCATTAGGATTAGAATTAGGGCCAGGGTGAGGGTTAGGATTAGGTTTTGGGTTGAGATTAAGGTTAGGACTATGGCCAGGGTGAGGATGAGAATTAGATTTTGGGTTGAGGTTAAGTTAAGGATTAGGATTAAGGCCAGGGTGAGGATTAGGATTACTCACTCACTTGTTTGGTTACTCGTAAGAAAGAACCCAATGTTAGTGTACCAGATGAGAGGAGGCATTATTGTTTTTTTTATTCACACATATTAAGGGATATCTGAGTTGAGATTGGATGAACGCTGGGAGTACGAGCACACTCTCGCAGAAGGAATATTTGTGGCCTTTAAACATGGACAAATTTAAAGCTTCAACATAGATGCTGTATTTGGTTTAAGGGGAAAAATCTTGTACATGTTGTTTTTGTCTCTTTTTGAAGAAAAGAGATATTCTGTGTAGTGGGCCGAACGCCTGCTCTGAGATTACTGCTAATGTAGCTAATCAGCCGTGCACTTGAAACAATCACAGCCCACAAAAACACTCACTCACCAGCCTCAAAGCAACTCAGAGGATTTCATTTAGGACTTAAAATCCCTATTCGGACGGGATTAGTTTTCCATGAGGAGGTGGGTAATGCTAGTTTGCTGCAGGACATCTGTAAGTGACTTCTGTCTGAAGTGAATGCAGTATGATTAGCATCACCATTAGCTTGGGAATCCATAACAAACAGTCAACTTCACCGCATATTTATTTGTTTTTCCTGTAAGTGTTACATGTTCTGGTTTGTATACATGACCAAGTGCAGTAACACAAAATATTGGCCTGATTTTATCCACAGACCACAATAAGGCCGAAGTCGGCTTCTTATTGGCCAGATTCTTCTTCGAATTTTTCCCGTTCCACCTTAAATGCAGCGGTTACATTCTGGTGCCTCAGTCATTGTAATGATAACTGCCACAAAATTTAAGATGGAACTGGAAAATTCGAACAAGAAGCTGCCAATTAAAAATCTGACTTCAGCCTCATCAGGGAGATCTAAAGATGTTATACAGGAAGCTGGTGGTCTTTATAGGAAATTAAGCTAATTCCCATTAGAAATCAAGACCAACCGGTTTTAATCCTAATGGTTTCTTATAGTCCTTTTTCAGCAGGGAGTGTAAAAGATCCTAATGGTTTAACAGGTGTTCTGAGACTGATCACAGATTCATCTGGTGGTTTCTTAATGGTGTTCTACAGGAAACTAATGGTCTCGAACGGTAAACATTACAACAACTGACAAAGCTCTTCTCAGATCATCACAAATCTTTGGTGGATGCTGTTACCATGGCAACATTTATATAGAGGCCTTTGTCACATACCATCAGTGTTTTACACCTTTACCCTTTTAAATGCTTAAATTCTTCAAAAAGGCACCAAGCAAATATTTATTTATTTACTTATTTACTTATTTATTTATTTGCAATGTCAATATGTAAACACAGCATTACACACCGCTCTATTATTTCTTCTGATTGTGGAAGTTCAGGCTACTCACAAGCAGTAGTTTTTGACTGTTTGTGAAAGTTTGACATTCCCATCTCCATTTTCTGCCCAGGGCCATTTGTGTTAACTGACCAAAACTTCTGCAAAAACTAATGAAAACATTATTCATTGTTTTTTATTGTTTTTAAAAACTTAACCGACATTAATAAAGGCCTATGAAGCTAAATAAAGAAATAAATAAATAAACAAAACAAAACAAACAAACAAAGATTTTGGGAATCAGGTCAGGCGTATTTTTCCCAAATGAAAATATATGTACTGTAAATGATTTCCCAGAAGAGCACAGATTCTGTATAGAACCGTAAACACATCACGCTGGCTTGAACACAGTAAATTATTGTGCTGTAGAAATTACAGAAATTCTTTACTGTGTAACTTTAACATCAGCAACCAGACGACCAGCTTCGGCCTCTTTTACTGTTTCTAATAAACGCTGTGGTTTTAGAGGGGACTGTGGAGAGCAGACTAATGTCCTCACAGCCACACAGCGTTTATGCTTTCATCAGTCGGGGGAGAACTCAGTCCCCACAAAGAGATAAAAACAAAAAGCGCACAAAACAAAAGACATCAGAAGTTTCTGGAATAAGGCAGAAGGACGTGCTCAGGGTCTCTCGAGGTCAGACTACAGCTCTGTCTGTGATGTCATATGGCATCAGTGGCAATCACAGGTTTAATATCTGAGGGTAGGATGTTGGGCTTTGATGTCAAACGCTGTCAAGCGATGTTAAGCGAAGAGAATTTAATCCCACTATGATTCCACGTCTCATAGGATGGAGGGGCTGATTTGCTTTTGGGCTTTGTCTGCTGTCCTCAGTCTAGACGATGTGAGTCATTATGCCGTGGCTTTGGGAGTTCATTTGCAGCGCTGCACTTTGGATGATCAGCGTGTTTTATGGCAAATTAAAGTTTTGTGATAGCTTAGTTAAAGTCTTTGGACTGGCTGCCAATTAGGACAGGGGTGTAATTAAGAGGCGATGGGAGGATGGGCTCCCCCCAGTGTTGAAAAGAAGCGATTTTTCCCTACTAAAAAATGAAAGAAAGCAGAAATGCATTTTTGCAAAACGACATGAAACTTAGAAAAACAATGCAAGTTTCATTTCTACTAGGCATAGGGGGCAGCAGTGAGTCATATTTGTTTATTTGAATTCGAGCCGTCTTCAGCAGAGCCAGTTTATGAGGAGCCTGGCCACTTCCTATTTCCCCCGTTATATCAAAAACAGGACTGCTAAACAGCAGAGGGCGCCCACAAGCGAGTCCTCAATGAATGGGAGTGAATGGAGCTCAACGGCTAAAAATGAAAAGTTAAAATAGTTTCTAATCACTGAACCAGAACTTTCCTTTAATTTTAGACAGTAGAAGGATGGATTTCACTAAAAAAGCAAAGAAATCTCACCTGTATGTTTCCTTTTTATACAGCAAACAGGTTTTGGGCAGCAGGACGCTAACATTACTGCTACTGAGTGCTGATTGGTTGGCGAGCGGAGCAGCTCATTGGCTGTTCATGTTCACTGACGTCATGAACGTACACGAGGCGTCGTTTTAAACTCCTATAACTCGAGTTTAAAAGGTCTTAAAAATATAACAGCGGTGTTAAAATGTTTTGTGCTGCTCTGTGTTCAGGAAATGTTTTTATTCTTTTATATTAAAATACTTAAACACTTACAAACTATGATTTTACTGAAAGGCTCCATCTTAACCCTTTCATTTTGGACTTGCTCTGGAGTGCCCTCTAGTGTTTTGCGAGACCCAGAAGACATTACAGAGTGGTAATTCCCCTCTCTACAAGTTCTCTGTCTTCAGTTTCTCCTTCTTCTTTGTTAACACTTGCTAACTAACATTAGTGAGAAACTGTCAGACGTGTGCAAATGCAGTTGAGCAAAAATTTGCACTCTTCCAGTTGAGGAAGAAGTTAGCAAGCACTATTACTTGAGCACTAAGTGTATCACAATGTAAACCTCACTAATTTTAGGTAAGGTTTGCTACCTGGGTAGTTAACACTAACCCTATTAGCAGGTATGTTAGCAGCTGCACTATATGTGTTTTTTCCTTTAATTCTCTGTAATTGTAGTCATTTGTGTAAACGTGTATGTATGTCATTTATATCAGGAACAGAGCTTGAAACATTTATATTAACCTGATGGACTGGACTTTGATGAGAACCCGACTGCTGGTGTCACCCACTTATGTTATTGATGGACTGATGGCCTGAAACAGTGAATCAGTTCAGGAAAGTCAGGAAAGTACAGTTTAGTGAAAACAAAAGGACATTGAATTTGTTTGTAAAGTATCTTTGCCCTGTCAGAAAAAATGTACTGTACTTTTTTGTTCATCAAGGTGCAAATAATGTAAATGTAGCCTCAAACATACAACAGTGGTTTTAAGGTCCAACTGTGCACCTTTAATAAATGTATTCCCATAAACCTGTTTTAAAACAGAACCTTAAATGAAAGGCTGGAGGCAGAACAGTGAATGTGGGTGTAATACAACTTAAAAAATGTGGTTTCAATGGAATACAGTACAATATTCCCTGACTAAAGTTACTGAAGACATACCCTTGGGGGGACCACCCCAGTGACAGTTTAGCATGTTATTTCTGAGAGTTTACACTATAACTCATGTCATGTATTTATGTGTTGCCAGTTCTGTGTAAAGGAATTCTGTGTAAAGGATTAATTCATCTTGCTATATCAGCACTGCACAGAGTGAGAACAGCACATCCTGTTGTCCAAAGCCATTATTTAATGAACAATTTCATAAAAGCAGGATTTCAACTTTGTTTTTAATAGCTGAACATTTTAATTTTATATATTTGTTGTTTTGTTTTTTGTCACTGATGGCTATCATTGCTGCGGTGCAGTAATTTAACCCCTTAACAATCCAGGTTCATTTCATACAAAGGCTTATTAGTATGTAACTACAGGGACTTGTGCAAAGTAATGGAGCTTTTCTTAGGATGTAGAAGTGTGTAATAAAACGTTGGGCCTGCTGGTGAGCCCATGGCTTGTTAAGGGGTTAATCAGCACCATGCTGTCAGATTTTGGTTGGCACTTTGGGCTGGTTAAGTGGAGTCTCGAACCTGTTCTCAGCCTGTGTTAGTGCTCAGACCAAAATTTTGAACCTGACCAAAGCTCTAGTCAGGACCACCTAGTTTCAGTTAATTAGGATAGCTAGAAAGCAAGATGGCTAGTCAGGCATTTTAGCCACAGCTGCTGGTTTTGGGTATTTCTACGGTCAGTCTGTCATTATTTTTCTTATTATTAAAGCAGGAACAACATACAAGATGTCCAGACATTAGTCTCTTCTTTAAATATAGAAAGGCAAGTGCTGGAGTTTTGTTGTGACCCCCTTGACCTCTGCACTGTCCATTCACTTCTGTCCCGTCACGCCCTTACAGTTTGAGGGGTGGCTGCTTGTTTTTGTGCATGAACTCTGAAGTTGATCAACCCTGATAATAATAATTGAAAGCATGATATTTAGCTTCACACGTACACTTGAACACAATGGCCCATGAATCTCGGATTTTTCCCATTTCCTGTTGCTGCTTTGAGTGTTTTCCTGAAGGATGTGCAGAGACGTGCTGCTGGTGTCAGTTTAAACGAGTGCTGAGGGTACAGGCCTGCAGAGATGCTCTGAATGATGTTTGCACATTAGGCGTGTGAGGCGCTCCGGCCATCTGACGCCTGTAAACACAATATTTTACTCGCCCCGCAGCACCGCGTCGTGACAGAACACAGCACATTCTGCTGTTCTCCATCAAAAAGGAACACGCAACAAAGGCAGCAGGAAAGTGTTTGTAGATAAACGGAAAAAGGAATATTTACAAAACGGTCTCAATGCGTCTCCAAGCTGCTCTTGTTTTCCTTCTTTTTTTTTTTTCCTTATTTTTTCCCCGAAGAAACACGATTGCAAATGTATTGTTATACACGACGTCCCATCAGTGTTTGTGCAGCGTGAGGGAGCGATGCTGTTCTGCTGATCGCGGTTATTTGCTTTGATATCCTCACACATCATTACCCATTTTGGTTATGCAAGCATGCAGTGGGTATTCTGGGATGCGGGGGTCTTTGGGAAAAGGCCTGTCAGTGGGAATCTACAAGCAGCTGCTGCTCGGCTGCAAGGCCTGCCTCCTCCACTGGGGGGGACGCAAGACTTTGAAGCTCAGGGCCAGAACTAGCTCCTTTCTGGGGGTGGGTTTCCTCACATTAGCTCACTGAAGGTCGCTCAGGGCCCTGGGTGGGCAGCCTTGGACAGTGGGCTGCAGGCGATGTTGGAGGCCCGACGTGGGGCGAGTTACTTTATTTGTAGGCTGTTGGTTGACTTCCTCCTCCCTGCTGC